CTTTCGTGGATGACTTTTTTACCACATTAATTATCGGTGGTTTTAGGATGACCAGTAATAACTAGCAGATCGCAAAAAATGTAAATCACGTTTCTTAACAGAATTGTTTAACAATATATTTTGTACATTTTTTGTTTACACTTTGTTTTGACTAAAGCCATCTGATTGGTTTATTTTTTTCACTTGATCGCTTTTATGTTCACCAGTATAAAAGCACATGTATTTTCCGAATCCATGTTACTGATCTCCCGACGAAGGGCCTCCGCTCGAAACGTCGAAGTTTCACAATCAACAGTTTTCCGGTGTAATTAGCAATAGAAATAGCACAAATTCCATGACTTGTTCATGAATAGTTACATTTCTCCCTCAGTTTTGACGCGAAACCCAAGCGAAAATGCTGCAGGTGAGACAGCTTTACTCACATCGCTATTTGATGAATACGATTTGTGAAATAAATTGGAAATAAATTTGATGAATACGATTTGTGATTGTTCATTTGCAATTCTTTCTAGTTCTTTCAAATCCGATAAAAATATAGAAGGCTAAGGAATAAAAAATTTTAAGAGCGCATGCGTTCCAAAGTAAGGAGCAGGAAATTCAATTCCCTACCCTTTTCATTGCCTATTATATAATAGGGTATTAAACGTGGATCTGTCACTAAATTTCTGCTAAGTGGAAATTGCAGATGAATCATTACAAAAACTACAAAATAAATACAGTAGAGAACTACATGAAAACGTTTCATGAAATAAAAAATGGTGGTAATCGACCTTTTTTTCGAGTAAAATGTGTTAAAAGGTAAAATGTCGGCCATATTGAAACGTCATTGTTACCATAGCAACGGTCATGACCTCATTATTGTGAACAATTTTCAACTCTTAGAAGATTGTTCAATATATGTGGTACAATTTTTGTCCTCGAACAAGAAACCTCTTTTCAAAAAATTAGATCTAAATCACGATTTTGTCATATTTCAAAAATTGTAGGGAGCCATCTTAATTTCACCCAACCTCGTTCCCAGGCTCTTTGCTCTTGGGAAGCAAAGACCCTGGTCGGAGCTGGTCACGTGACCCATAGAAAATTGATAGCCCAAGAGGGGGATGGAAAAGTCTCATATTACATGTTTCCACTTCCGCACTTCGCATTTCGATTGCAGGAGTGGCCGTTCTGTACAATCATCTAATTCATCTTCGAGAATCATATATACCTCAAACTACTTGCTAAATTGGTTTCTGTTTGCTTTTAAATTATACAAACATGCTAAAATGCAGATTCTTATAGCAACAGAAAATTCAGGAAATCAAGCAACGAGAACGTATGACTGTACTCTTTGAAATATTTTCTCGGGGTTCGCCGGTTCGGGCGTAGTTTCATTTCACGCGTGCGTTTCTGTTCTGGCTCTGATTTTTATAATATGCTTATAATATGCCAATTAATTGTTCTAATATCGACAGGGTATAAATTTTGTTAAACAGATGTCTCAAAAGCGACTGTTTATAGGTCATAGGATTAGCGCCTTGCCGGTCTTAAAGTACGTGACACATTTGGACACAAGCCAAATACACATTGAATGCCCATTCTATTGATTCTAAAACTGTTTATAGACATATTGCTTTAGATTTTTTTAAAAGGGTATCATCGTTTATATTAAACACCAGGAAGCTAGACAAAATATAACGTACAAAATTGTTTGAAATGGACAGTGAACAGCTGACATACGACAATTCACAACTGCATGAATTTTCTTTTTTGTCTGCACGAGTACCTGTTTGTTGAAGCCAAAATATTGCACAGCATCTCCTATAAATTCTATCGCCATTTACCCTCTCCCCTTAAATACAAAGGAATGACAGCAGAAAAGGTTTAGCAAAGTATTTTTTATTACATCTGGTATAAACTATAAAGTGTCCTACGTTTTATCAGGATATACATAATTCATAAACTGTATATGCACACGAAGTCTCGCTTATATTAATGAGTTTTACTGTAACAAACCTTTTAAAGTTTGCATTGATAGATAGGTTGTTTGCCTCCAGTATTGTTTGGTAAAACAGACTAAACTTCTAAAATGTCGGTTACGGAATACGATAAAGATTAAAGTTGATTTAAATAATGTTGATAACTCACAGCGGCATTAATCCATTATACAAGTCTAAAGAAGCTGGATTATTCTTCAATAAAGCCCTCAATGTCAATGAAAGGTTTAATATTATACACGTTGCAAATTACTGTATACACAAAATATGAAATAATTTATATAAAGTACAATACCAGTGTCTGATGCATATATCGTCCTAGATATTCAAGTTGTACCGCACGCACGGAAACGCACGGAGGAGTCTTGGCGTTTGTGTGATAACAGATAGCTAGCTACACTTCGACATTATCTTTCTTGATCGTTGAGTTTCAGCAATGTAAATGAAATGAATTTGATAGCCAGTCCATAACGGGTTTAATCCTGTGCTTTTACAGTCAAAATAGCACTATTGTTTACACATGTTGGCGATGTTTGGGAAATCAAAGGATCCCGTTATAAAATAAATCTCTTGTTTTGAATATCGGACAGGATACACTTCAACTATAAAGAACCATATCGTTCGTTTAATACCGTTTGATCGATCATTCTGTGTAGAAGATATGTATGTTTCTACGGCGATACGTGCTAAACTTCGCAAGCCAGGCGCGTGTGGAGTGCTTTCCTTGCAAGTGAAATATGATCCAGCTTCTCGCTTGAAATGTATCGCAACACTTATTATTGATGACATTTAGTACAGCAGGAAGTCTTGTCATGATCGGTACAATTTAAAACAGTTCCTTTCACAATCTCTTGTTGCAAATTACATTTTTATCACCCGAAATTATAACACATAAAGTTGCAATTTTCCAAACGCAACAAACAGACTCCTCTACTACCCCTCCCTGAGGTCAAATTCAATTTACCCCCAAAATCTGGGGGTTCACGTGACCAGCTCCGACCAGGGTCTTTGCTTCCCAAGAGCAAAGAGCCTGGGAACGAGGTTGAATTTCACCCCGGCTGTCAGTATAGCTATAGGGCATCATTACATGTTAGCGTTAGAATTGAAATGAAGAATCTTGCAGTGGTAGTCAAATCTCAAGCTCTCCAATATGGAATTAAAAACACTATACGTCTGTGCTATCATGCACATAATTGAGCATCGTTTCCAACGAATTCATGGCCTTACGAGTACACATTATAAATTTATACAAATAGCGTCCTAGTTGCTCGAGGCAATGGTTAAATATTACGGTACACGTAATGCAGCCTGAAGTAGCATGTTTATTGCCGCTTAATTAACGAAATTTTGCATTGTTAGCGTAGTGATTGTTATATTTGATATTTTGTTTTTCTTTACCTTGTTTTCTAGGCAGAAACGTAAGGCTGAAAGCATGGAAAGGCTTACGTCCTGGACCTCCTGGAATCGACGACCAGCCACCAGATGAAGTAAAGAATATTTTAACACCAGTTGTCCTCCAGGCTGAAAAAGATATGAAGGCGTGGATCTGTTATCCTTCTGTAACCGTTCTCCGAGGGGAAATAATGACACCAAACTCACCGTATGACTGCAGAATTAAATTAAGGACTGGTATGCTACTTAGAATATAGTTTTACTAAATGTTATTTATGTAAACTCACTTGGTGGACATTTTAAAATTTAGTCTAACCGATTAAGGGGCGTCTCAAATATCAAACTTTTTATCTTCGGACTCTAGTCATGCCACTGCAGTGACTAAACTGATATTGGCGAAAATAATAAATGTGTCTCAACCCCAAACATTTCTACTCTCTCATTGAAAAGAGTATTAAATTACTCATTTTCGATTTTTTTAGTTATTTCAGTTTTTGATATGCAAATTACCTTACGTTATGTCTCACGTGCATAATGACTTACGGGGCGTAGATATTTGGTAGACAAGTGTTTTCATGATCATGCAATCGGTATCAGTAACAATTCTAGAAAATTAATACATGCGTGCAACAACCTCTCGCCCAGCCTTATTTCAGGACAGCTACAATTTCAAAACACTGTTTCCAACATGAAGTATTGGAAACATTATGTTTGCCATGGTGACATGACGTGACATGAAGATCGTATATTTTTGTACAAAAAATTATCTATTTTAATTTAACAGCAGAATCTTCGATGACAAGCTCTGTAATGAAGTATAGTGTTTTTGACATCCAATAAGCTTAACTTAAATTTAATGTAAATTTAATTATTGTACGAGGGGGATAGCAAAATACTTTTAATTTTATTCCCTGCCTTCGTTGCATATTTGCAAAAGACAACAAAAATTTTTGGCGCATGGTCTTGGTGCATTGTCATATGTTAAAAGATCTTCGCGCATTGTCATATGCAAAGACCTGACCATGTTTTGATGTGCCAGAATATCTACGGTTTGAACTACTTGCACACACACACACACTTGGTTATATCTTTCGGTATTATAAGTCTTAATGAGTAATTATAAGATCTTTTCACTGACTACTGAACAATAAAATAATTCTCTTGTTTTGTATAGGCTGCCGTTATGTGACTGACAAAGATAGCGTTTGTCTAGAAGAAGACGCAATCTTATCGGATTATCTTTCTCATTGCAAACTTGTTAAGAAAGATGATAAGATGACCCTGTGTTTACCAAATGAAGAAGACCATAAAATCCCGGAAGGCTTTGGGTGTATCTTTTACCGAGAGGCGAAGGAGAAGATTTTTTCCGCTACCGGTGATGAAGAAGAACGCTTTACTGTTATTGTTTTGGATGAAAAAGGATGGGATTCTGACTCGACTGAAAAAAGAGAACAGAAGCAGGTTTGTTGCTTCAATTTTTAAAAGCATCTACAAAGCGAAAGTTCTTTTTTAATTATTCGCTTACGTCATTATCATTATAATTACGTACTAGAAATACATGCATGAAGAATCCCCTCGCCTTCCTGGCAAAACCACTATATTTTCCGAACATGGTAACACGATAATTATATTAAGAATAATTTTAAAATTGAAAAAAACCCTAGAAATATTCACTTTCAATTACAAAATTATCAATTCCCAAAAATATATATGTTAGTCACTATGCGTAATATAAGCTTCGATTCAATGTAAAATTCAACTTCAAACGCTTCGCAAAACGTTTAATAGCCTAATAAAAAAGTTCTTGAACCTAAACTACCTTTTATCGATAAACGTTGAGTTTGAAATAAAATGACTTCAAATTCTCTGATGAAAATAATTATTTAAAATTTTAATATAATAAAAAAGGGTAATTTTTCGTGTTCTCTTTCGTTATACGCAACGATCAGTTTGTAAAGCACTGTTTAATAAACGTACGAGTAGGATCATATTAATTTAAACGTAATATGAATAAAACATCATAACGTAATATATTCAAATTATTGCACTTACTTGAAAAATCATAAGAGCTTGCATTTTATACAATAAATAGCTTCAAACATTGCTTCAAACGATGGTTCACAAAATAGTTTATTATTGTTCAAATATGGCGAATTAATTGATGATTCCCCTTATTAGGTTTTCTTAGCGCTTTGCATTGCGGTTATAGTGGTATCACTGATAAAGATAGGGGCCTCGAATGAAAATATCGAATGTTGTCGCGAATATTTTGCTGTTGGTTATCGGGCACCTGACCCTAGCTTTATTAAAGTTCTTGCACGGGTCAGGACAAAAGATAAGCCATCTTGAATATCAGTGATACCACCATAACCACCATGCAAAGCGCTAAGAAAACGTAATAAGGGGAATCATCAATTGACAAAACGAAAATATTACATGGTGTTCCAACGAAAATAACAGCAAGGATTGCGGGCGCGCGAGCGGAAAGGCGAGAATATATTATAATAGAAGGGCTGAAACACCGGTAATGCGATCGTTTGGTGTATTCCATAAGTAGCCTGTTCTCTCGGATAATTCCAAAGCACCTCCTGCCAACTCTAACAAAGCCAACGCGCTAAATTAATGAAAATAAACAATGTTAGCTATACTGGCTAATATGAAATATTTAAATGTAGCGACCAACGGTTTTTGTTACATTATTTAGTTTTATTATTATTTAGTCATCGCGTCACGAGAACAGGCTACTTATGGAACACATCGCGGGAAAACGGCTAAGAATGATCGCTGTTATAAATCACATAAATTAGATTGATCAGTGCAGCTTTTTGGTATATAATGACTAGGCTAATGTTCATGTAAGAGAACATCGACTGAGCCCTAAAAGTACGACAAAAAGATTAAATGGATAGTCTAGAAGCATTTTAAAAAGTCACGATATTTGTTTCAGCCCTTCTATTATAATATATTTTCCCCCTCGCCTTTCCGCTCGCGCGCCCGCAATCCTTGCTGTTATTTTCGTTGGAACGCCATGTAATATATTTTCGTTTGGTCAATTGTTTCGCCATATTTGAACAATAATAAACTATGCATGTTGTGAATCATGGTTCGAAGCATTGCTTGAAGCTATTTACTGTATTAAATGCAAGCTCTTAAGATTTATACAAGTCAGTGCAATAATTTGAATATATTACGTTATGACGTTTTGTTTATATTACGTTTAATATGATGTTTTATTCATATTCATAACACAGCTCTTACTTGGACCGCCTGTGGTATGACAAATAACGGCATATAATTGTACATTATATTGGAGCTTATATTACGTATAATAATATACATAAAGATATTACTCGACTGTGATTGGTTGATTTCAGTGCAGTTAATCCCAAACAGCCGTGCAATTTTCTGTAATCACAGTGCAATTTCTTGTAATCACAGTGCAATTTTCTGTAATCACAGTGCAAAAATCTGTAACAAACTGATCTGATTGGTGGAAAAACATTGCGACGATTAAATCAACCAATCAGTTTAAAGCAGTTTAGATTTAAAGAAGTAACGGTCACAGATTGCTTCAAAACAAAACAAGCATGGCGCCGCGCTACATGTACACAAAGTAAAAGTTGCCTTCGCATGGAAAATATGGCTTTTATCTTTATTTTTAAATGGAAAGCATTTACCTTGAACAAGACTAACAAAAAATACACAGTTGAGTGGAATTTTCAAGCTGTTAGCGTTGTATAATGTGATAAAACAAAGCCCGGAAAACTGTGCCTGTAGAATGTTCGCTATAAACGCGTAAGTTAAAACTACAATTGTTTCGAACATTTTTATGTAAATTATTAATAAGTAATAGCATGGTTTCTCGTGAAATTTGGACAAACATGCACTCGCGAGTTTTTCAAAGACCTCAAATAGCACTCGTCCTTCGGACTCGTGCTATTTTGAGGTCTTTGAAAAACTCACTCGTGCATGTTATATCCAAATTGCACTCGAAACCATGCTATTACCTATACTAATAATATACATAAAGATATTACTCGACTGTGATTGGTTGATTTCAGTGCAGTTAATCCCAAACAGCAGTGCAATTTTCTGTAATCACAGTGCAATTTTCTGTAATCACAGTGCAATTTTTTGTAATCACAGTGCAATTTTCTGTAATCACAGTGCAAAAATCTGTAACAAACTGATCTGATTGGTGGAAAAACATTGTGATGATTAAATCAACCAATCAGTTTAAAGCAATTTAGTTTAAAGAAGTAACGGTCACAGATTGCTTCAAAACAAAACAAACATGGCGCCGCGCTATAGTGAAGTAAAAGTTGCTTTCGCGTGAAAAATATGGCTTTTATCTTTATTTTTAAATGGAAAAGCATTGACTTTAAACAAGACTAACAAAAATTACATAGTTGAGTGGAATTTTCAAGCTGTTAGCGTTGCATAATGTGATATAACAAAGCCAGGAAAAGTTTGCCGGTGGAATGTTCGCTATAAACACGTAAGTTAAAACTACAATTGTCTCGAACATTTTTATGTAAATTATTAATAAGTAATAGCATGGTTTCTCGTGAAATTTGGATAAACATGCACTCGTGAGTTTTTCAAAGATCTCAAATAGCACTCGTCCTTCGGACTCGTGCTATTTTGAGGTCTTTGAAAAACTCACTTGTGCATGTTATATCCAAGTTGCCCTCGAAACCATGCTATTACCTATACTAATAACATACCTAACGTATATATGTTTGGGTCGAATTTGATGATTTTGTAATTAAAAAGTGATATTTTGGCGGATTTTTCAATTATAACAATATTCGTCATGAAATTATCGTGTTACCATGACAACTACTTTAAATACTTCATGTTCGGAAGATATAATGGGTTTATCAGCAAGGCGAGGGTTTCTGCATGCATGCATTTTCTAGTTAAGAAATAAGAAGTTTGTGCGTTGATAACACTTGCGGTCACGGCTAGAAATTTAAGACTATATATCAAGGTATACTTAACAATTAGAGAACGAGGCCGAGTTGTCTATGAGCGAATAGTCAACGAGGCGAAGCCGAGTTGACTATTTGCTCATAGACAACGAGGCCGAGTTGTCTAATTGTTTTAGTATAAACTTTAACATTAATTTACAACTAGGCTGCAAACACAATACAAAAATACACAAAAAAACATTATAAAACCATCAAAAGTATAAACAAATATTTTAGTTTTTGTTCGCGTAAAATGTTTTACAAAATTCAGTTTTAATTTTAAAATTTCATTGAGTGTATGTTATTTTGTCTATTTTCTTACCCTTAAAAATTTCCATTCCATATTTTTATTGCTTTTTTTCCGGGGGTTTTTAGTACAGAATTGTTCAACAAGTCGTCCAAAAAATCATCAGACACTTCGGCAAATGTGCAAAACGCGAATTTTCCGCCATTTTGAATTTTCTATTAGTAGGCTATCACTAATAGCCTATTAGTAGCGTAGCCAATCAGAAGGTACGAAATGTGATAGCCTACTAGTAGGTTTTTACTAAATACTAATAGCCCTATGTAGAAATTTAATACGTCAGAATCATTAAATATGAGCTTTCAACATAAGAAATTTATAACTTGCAATGTGCAGAAAATAGCATAAACATTTCATCTTTCCACGTCTCTAACATTAGAAAATATCTCAGTAACTATACACTTAACGCTCAAACGTCATGTGCAATCATTGAGCGAAATAAATCACACACTTATCCCCTATAATTATATATCTGCCTTATTAAATATCAGTTAAAAGCCTGATCTTTATTCCAATATAGTACATTTGTAAGCCTTTATCGATATCTTTTCAATGTGTAGATCAACAGCAGGAGAGTAAATCTCAATTACGATGTTTATTTGAAGGCTGTTTTCTTCGTTCTGCAAAATGATTTATGAAATTGGCTTATTGTCAGGGTTTATACATAATCATTATTCATAACGTATTTACAAATTAGGTAGAAAATGTTTTTAATACTCTCGAATTTTACTGAATTGCTCACTCGATGAGTACGCGCAATGTGATGTGACCTTATGGCACTGAAGATCCTTCATTCCTGGCTATGTGGCCATTTCATATTCCCAACGTATTGGTGAACGTATATTGCCAAAATTAACTCCAATGTTCATAAAGACAAGTTGCCCAGGAAAATATGGTATTTATGACGTGCTTATCCAAATGATAATTAAATTTTGTATTTCTTTGTAGTTTGGCATAAGGGTTGTAATGAATTCGTGGTCTGAATCTCTGCTTTCACCTGAACAAGATTGGACGCCCGAGGAAGTAGTGGCCAGGCTGGATAAATATATGGACTTTTTGTCTTCACTTAAAAATTATTTATTCGATGACTTTTAAGTATTCTCGGAGCTAATATGTGTCCCAAGCTGCACAAAAATCCTAGATTTCATTGGCCGGTAATGACATTGCATGTGCTGTAAGATCACATAAATCGGCAAAATATGCATGCATTATTAAAATACTTTATTACTATATAATCAATGACATGCAGTGCTTCATTCATGTTCATTGTTCAGACGATACACGCGAACCACGATTTTTTATTACTATACTAAACGTAACATTCAATATGTAAATTATAGATACCCCTAGTTTTAAATGTTTTTAATTGTATAGAAATAGAACTTATAATTGTGGAATGCCTTTTGGCCCACTAACATGTATTAATTACGCCGACTCCACGGTAAACGGTCAAACTTTTACTACTTTCTTTTTGTGAACAGTTGCCATTACGACGGTGCCTCCACGTTTCATTTGGTACATCATCTAGCATGTCAGATATTCTTACTTGAATTATTTAAAATGACCTGGAAGTTCTTTACAGCTAAGTTGGATTCGTCACTTTGGCTTTAGGTTTTGAATATATATTATTTCGATTCACATTTCCTACTCACCTTTATCCATGGTTAGTTAATCCTGCAATTTCATTTCATTTCCTGACATTTTTTAGAGACAGTCGAGTAAGGAATAACAATATTCTCCAACTACATGTTTTTACTTACGAGCTTTCGGTTATCAGATCGATCTACAGTATAACCGACAACAGGATACTCAACTAGCCAGAGAACGTTGTGAACGTGATTTTCGTGTGGGTGTGCGCGTAAGGAAGAAAATATGGCAGAGTGTATAGAGTGAAGGATTTAACTCGACTGAACAGACGGTTGAGGCATTAAGTGCGAAACATTTTTCGTTTATTAACTCTCAGAGGAGGTTCGACAGCCAATTAGGCGAACATCTCGACCAATCAGATTGCGCCATTTCCCTCATGCTCGCACGAAGCTTTTGGCATCGAAAATTTACATAGGTCTCATAAATATCGATTATTTTTATATTGTTATGCACATTTTGGGGGGAATTTCACGCGATACTACTTTTACAATTGTCAATCTACCCACTGGAACGGTATCTTGAAAGGTAAGCGTCATTTTTCAGTTTATTTTGACCCCTCACTTAGGCGCTATGCTGTCGCGATGTAATTTAAAGGTGTTTATGTCAACAATCTTTGAAGACAAAAATCTCAAATTTCCACGGTTCGATTTTTTTTCATGATTACAGTATAGTTAAACAAAAGTATAAACTTTAATTCTATCCAGCCGGACCCCTTGGCCCAACCGTTTTCGAGGTATTCACCGTTGAACATAGCCCTCTGTAAAATATGCTGCCTCAGATCGATAATGAACTGCCATTACTCGCTTTTTTCTAAAGAAATGCGATATACTATAGAAGTTTTGACATATTATGGATTTATATATATTGTTTAAAGTATGTAAATAATTAAAGCACTTCTGTAACAATATTTTGTTGCTGAAATTTATTGTCTTGCTGATGTTTTAGTTTTTATTGTCTTGCTGATGTTTTGAGATTCGTGATTTTGGCTAATGGTTCTACTTTTGTCAATGATTTTGTCTGCAAGAATTAAGCATCATCATTAAATTTGGAGGTAATATCGGTCCTTCTAATCTGTACAGACATTCTACATCTACAAGATCTCCGATGCTTGTCTCCATCAAGTGACCAAAACCTTGTTCACCTCTCTGTTAATGTTATTGATGTGATGACTTCTGGATTTTCAAAACTAACCCACCGACAACGAGAACAACTACTCATCCACCTGTTTCAAAAATGGCTGGTAAAATTTAATCCTGGTTTAGATGCTAAATTTGTCCCTCAAAATTTTCTCCCACTTGTTGCCAAGACTATGTCTGTACTTCATGCTGGTAAAAAAGACAATCTGATTTATAACGCTGCTCGATGCTTTGGAGAACAATTCCATTGATATGTTGGTCCTAGAATGCTATTGGATAGAATGCCCTTTATACTCTTTATAGCAGTGTAGGGCCACTTGGTCCTTTTAAAAGTATTTTGTATAAATGCTGTTAACAACTTATTCAGATAAAGTTTAAGAAATGATGGTTCTTATGCACCTATAAATGTTATGTCCCAAAGAGGGGAGTCGAAACTATGTAGGGCATTTGATTTTTTGAGCAAATCTTCATTCAAATGTCCACTGTTGGGAATTTTGCAATAAATTGCAATAAATACTATATTAATTAAAGTCATTTTGGTTCAAATTGCCCTAACTTGGGCCCAAAATGCTAATCCATATTTAACTATGACTCAAATCCCTAGCGTGGGGATGTAATTAATGATCATGGTGCATTATAAGCAGGGATTTTTTTGTATTCTCATATAATGTACCTTAAAGTATCAGCAGCATGTTATTGTGGGACCTTTGATCAATATGTATATAAATAGACATATTTTTGTTTTATTGTTGTATTAATTTTAATGAAAATTTACTCACAAAGTTGGTCAATTGAATGTATAAACTATTTATTTATTCATTTAGTACAGCACATGTTACAATTATGTCGTTTCAAGTACATAATTGTAACATGTGCCGTATTAAATGAATAAAAAATAAATAAAATTGCACGAGTGTGCATGACAGACATTGTTGCACCCACTTGTGATTAACCTAGTTTTTGTTTAATTTAAAAACGCTGAAAAAAGGTCGATTGAAATAACAGCATTTCTATAACTTGCTAAACCAATCAGTTGCTATTATATCACAAACATCTGTCAACGTACACTCATGCTCTTCCTCATCACTTGAGTCTCCCACCCACCACGTCACTTTATGGAATTTTTGGATAAAATTCTATTTTAAAAAAGTCAACCCTATACTTGATATGCTGAACATAGACCTCTAAGATATCTCCTGCGGCAATTAGTGGGTGCAAATAGTCGCATAGTTCAGAAGCCATATAACCAACATGCGTCCATCCTGTTCCATAGTCTAGATCAATTGCACTTGGGTCCATTGAATTCAATTGCTCTGGCCATTTTCTTACATTCACCGGTTTATCTTATCCATGAAGAGCAAGGTATGCCTGTTCCAAATGATGTTGGTAGTTTTTCTCATGAGCAGCACCGATGCACTTGAATGGTACAACATGGATGATTTTGTCCTCGTCACTTTCATCCTCATCACTTAACTTGTCACCACTTTCTGCCCTATCACCTTCATTACCATATCCATCCTGACCTGCAGGTTCAAGACCAGCCAACCACTCATTTCTACAAAATCATAACAAGAAAATTTTTATTTTATTATTCTATACATACACTGTAATCTCTAAAATTAGCAATCTAATGCAGAAATGTGTTACTTGTTTGCACGTTGATGATACAGGGATATATAACGCCATCCAACTTAGAAAGAAGAGTCTCGCTATTGGGAATATAAACACAATCCTTCGTTCAAACAGATTATTTATAACCTAAGCTAAAATGACAGTACTTCCCATGTAATTTTAAAAAAGGTAAACTTTGTATAGTAAAACACAAGTCATACGCCTAATGAGGATCGCAACAATACAGCAATATGCTGTTTTCACAAAGTATCTGACGCTCTTGTCGTTCGATCTGCTTCCATATTGCTTTAGTCATGAGAGAGAATAGGGATGTTCACTCCTCGACAGTCAACAGTCAGTGAAGCCACGTGTGAAATTAGGTACTCAATACACATGATGCTTTGCGGCCTGCTGTCCAAACTCCTTTGATTAGCTCTTACGCATGCGCACAGTTCTGAAACCTAGTGCATCCGATTAAATATTCATTTATTATGGAAATTGTACACAAGATCATTCATCACGGCTGTTCAAAATTGCTATACTGACAAAGGAAAATGTCGCTTCGTTGGAACAAATTCACTTGGTTTAAGTTGAATTAGGTGCTCATTACTTCTGTCTTATCCTAAGAGACTGCTTGTGTGACATTAATCGTGCAGTTTCCATATGCAAGATTGATTTTATATGAATGAAACGTATTATATAAATATGCAATTTCTGCGAAATCAAATGGTCACTGGGCCGAGCCATTAGCGGACTATCAAGTTACAATTCTGTTTCGAAGCCGGAAGAATTGATCAAGAGAAGCGCGCATCAAACAAGGAAATAGAACCACAATATTGTCTAATTCCGATCTGGCTTATAGTGTCTACCTTTGAAGAATAGCTACAACCTCAAGGTATTAATTGTTAGCATCGGCAACATTTGTAATAAGCATATATTATACAGTTGGGAAAGCCCATTCATGTTAAATATATCTTCAGATATGCGTACAGTCAACACTGACTATAGCGTATACATATTAATTAGTACTGCTAGTCTCCAATTGTATTCAATTTAATTTAATTTTTACTACTGTACATACATGTATTCTTTTTAAATTTATTACCTCGTCAGAATGTTATGTTTTCCGACCCCGTTTTGTTTGCGCATGTGTATGTTTGAGTGTTGGTAAACGTGTGCCGCCGTATATAACTCAACAAACCACCTGAAATCAGTATTACGGAAATTTGTGGAGCGAATGACCAAAGACAAATTTCAGCTCAGTACAGTGGATGAAAATTGGATTACCAAAGTTTGAAAAGTATTTATAGATGGATGTATATATATGTTTATACATGCGTAAATACTAAAGGCTTTCGCTAGCGAAAGTTATTCTGTCCTATTATTCTGTTTTATTATTTAGGTTCAACAATCCGTAAAATGTCAAGTTTTGTCTATATATTTGGCGTTTTATTTTGTCTACATATTTTTTCATACGAATGTGTCGGTAAGTCGACATTAATATCTAGCATTTATCGGTACACTCGCATTGTTTTCTCTACACATATTTTAATACTGTAATATTATATCCACAATATATATAATTGGAGCCAGTAATCTGAAAACGAACTATTAATTTATAGATATAGAACAAATTAATCATACATATAAAGACCCTCTATAGTCTGCAGTATTAAGGTGGCTCCCTAAAGTTGGGCATATTTTTACCAACGTCTCTAAAAAAAGGCTTGGTCGTTTTGACTGAGAATTCTTTTCCATGCTATATACTGCTACGCAATAACTATAATATTCAACATTTAAGGAATATTTAGAATTCTGTTCTTACCGTGTCACTGTTGTCATGGCAACTTGAATAAAGCATAAAATCTGTCTCTGTAAAACAGATTCTGTGCCCTATCTTTTTTATCCAATAAATCAATAGTTGCAAACCATGATGTTCTGTAACTATTGAAAAAGTTTAATAATTAAGGCCGTGTTCCAATGAGCCCAACTAACCGTGAAACTCCCATCAGTCTGCATACCCATTATTAATTTAACGCATTTAAAGTTCAATTTCTATTCATATGAGAAACGAACCAGCCGGGCAAGATGAGATCAACTTGCATTATAGGTTCGTTAAAATATTTCCTATGAAGATTTTTAAACGATATTTGGGACGTTTTCGTACTATAGACAACAAATGTTTTCACTCATAGACGACAGTATCTAAATTTTTTTAATAAAAAATACAATTTGCTTCTTATGCTTGGATTTTTTGAACTGGCGTTATTTGTAGCACAAACATAGCTGAATTGCATCTCGATGTCACTGTTGTTTAAATTGATATGCCACATTTAATGAAGGATTATTCAAAGCTTCTTATATAATATATTGATTGGGCCGCCTCTTATATAGACTAGATAGCGCATCTTTTTTAGTAAAATTGAAGCCAGGAATATTCCAGCGGTTACCCCCCATTTGAATAGATGGCTGCCATGTTGAGCAGCTGAACAGGGTGGACTTCCGTCTACGCATGCGCGAGAAACGTAAGCGTGGAGTGCACGTGAGCGCGGGCTAATCGCGTGACTGAATTATAAAAACAAACATCAAATTTGCAAAAACTACTCGTGTTATGAAGTCGTTTTCTTGTTTCTTTAGTGTTTCTACGCCCACAATTTTAGGCATTTTCAACTTAGAAGTGTTTGCTTTGGAATAAGAACGTGAAAGTAGGAATAAAAACATTGTTGCAGCAGTTTAATTTCGCAGTGCAAATATACCTGTTTTTAATATGTATATCCTTTTCGAAGTGAGATATACAAGTGCAAATTGACCTTCTTTAAATTCGTACTTGCCCTATTTTTCACTACATAAAAACTACTTCTATCCGTGGTGAAACTATTTGACTCCAAAAATAAGCTTGAATTTTTGTGGTGATATAGGCTCATTTCTTTGCAAACAGTGATTTAGTACTCGGTAGTGTAGTTCTTGTTTATGAACAAGAGTCTAAAATGAATTCAACATCCGTCAACAAAAAGGAGACGCGCTTATTACTACTCTGTAGAGGATAGACAGTTGATTTAACTCACTAGGAACCCGTTCTTCAATATAAACTAGAAATCGGCCAACAAATTGCCACGAAATACTACAATGAAAATAGGGTCTCTGAACTACCAATTTCACCGAACGGTCAAGTTTCTCTGCAAATATCGCCCCTTTGCCCAATTTTCCTCGAGTAGATCATCGTGTTTTTAAGTCAAGGATTATGTATACTTTAACATAAAGGAATAAAAAAAAGTGGTGATAAAGGGTAGATTTTGAATAAAATACGAATATCTGTATACAAGATCTGAACGCTATTATGAAGCACTCGATACTTTTTCCAACAACATATTGCGATTAATTTTTTACAAAATTAAAAATATTCACACATTAAAGAGATGAAAATGTAGCTTGCATTACAAAGAAATGTTGGCTTACCTAAGTTATACCAACCTCGTTCCCAGGGCTTTTCCCTTTTTGTCATTGGGAAGGCGGGAAAAGGCCCTGGCACCGGCCGGTCTTCTATGTATTCTGATTGGTCAATGACAACTACATTATTATGCAAAAAATGCAATCTTGGATTAATTTATTCAAACTTTGGGATAAATTAATATTTCCAGCAAGGAGTGTCCATTATTAATACTTTGTCTGTCTAAGAAATATTTTTGGCAAAATCTGTGGCAAAATGGTTAAATTCGATTAGATTTATACACAATTTGTCGAAGGTTAGTATTATTGTTTGTTTTAAACTGTGAGAGAAGATTAATTGTATACTAGAACACACCTCTGAGGCTCTGACCGAGTATTTAGGGCAAAATGTGCCTTCATATTTGGCTTCGTATAGCGTTTATAATGTTTATATTTATAAAACTAAAGTCTGGGTTTATAAACTGAAACATGACCTTTAGTTTTTTATATTCTTCATAGTCGAGTTTAAATTGGGCTAATTTATAGTTAGTTACCACTAGAAATGTGACGATATTTTGTTATATCATATATGCAACAGTGTTTACAACTTTTGAATAATATGTGATTTGGTTTTGTTTCAGATACTATTACATGTTGCTTCATTTTACCATAAATTGTGTTAAAAAAGTGATTTTCTCATTTGGCTGATGTTACAGTTTTCTGATGTGTTTTGTTAGGATGATATCAGAACAATTTCAATATGAAAGTGCAGATGTCTTTAGACATGACCCATAATGTATATATCAAAATACTGATAAAATCCGTTTCCAGCTTGATTGTATTTGCATTGTTGCAGACAAAGTTGTGCAATGGTGGGCTTATGTCACATAGTCGTATGTAATTCCATGTGCCTGCATGTACTTTGATGCCTCAATAGATGCTTCGAATGTGTAATAAAGGGCTGTTCGCAGGAGTTGGGCTGTCTGGCCTTAAATTGCATTGTTTTTATGATATTTTAAGATTGTATTCATATGGCTGGACCATCATGCCATTGCCACAATGTTTGATGTTCAAACAGGCTTTAAAATCAGGTTACAATGCATGCTTGAAAATATGCAACAATTTCACTGCTAATAATATTCCAGAAAATCCTGCCTCTTGGGCAGATCTGGACTGATTTGTCAGAGGGGGTTGGAGGTTTTCTACTTAGCTTGTGATCGGGCAAGGGGAGCTAGCCAAGGGTGCTGGGTCAGAATCAAACTCATGTGAACAGCTTCTAAGTCCTAATTATATTGATAAATTATGTACACTTTGGGATGGTAATGCAATTTGTAAAATATTCCACATTTTATTTAATAAAATTTAATTATATACATTGTTTTTGTTGCTTATTTGGACAGTGTATATTTACACCTTTGAACCCTGTAAATAAACACCTTTGGAGGGTGTACCCATTCTAAGCCAAAGACATTTAAGAACAATTATCAAGGTATTTGCATGATAAAATATATTTAAAACCGTTCTCCATATACATGTAATGCATGGTTCAATTCTTGCTTTTACCAAGTAAACCCAGGGATTTTCAATGTCCCCCTTCTCCCATAGAGTTCACTTGAAGTGACTGGGGCAAGTTAGCTATAAGTATAAGTAGTTATATTAATTTAATTAAAGTCAATTAAAATTTACAAATAGAGCTTTTTGAATATAGACCATTGCAAATTTTTTTTAACCCTTTATAGTGGCAATGTCCCTACTTTAGTATATTACTCCGTCTGGTGCCAGACAATTTTACTCAAGGGCAGAATGTAGACTTGCCACAAGTCGACCTCGAACGAAACGTCGGCTTACTCTCACTGCTTGCGTTTCGTTCGAGGTCGACTTGTGGCAAGTCTAGGCTGAATGCTGCCACTCAATGAGTTAATATATTCTCAGAACAGTTACCATCAAATTTAATCTATTTTGCTGGCAAAATTGCCTTGGAGGGGGTCCTTGATTTGTTGAGTCTTTTTTTTTTGGCAGAATAGCAACTGGTTTCAGAATAGGAAGAATTGTTGTAATATAGGTAATATAATTCTAAGACAAATCATCCAAAGGAAGCAATCATTCTAGCTCTTGTAGTGTATGTTGCAACAGGGATGGATTTACTGGGGGGGGGCTGTGAACTCCCCTAGCCCTGGCCAGAGGGGGTGCAGGGGGTTCTATTTTTCATGATAAAGCAAAAATTATTACAGGCAAAATGAGATACAGTAATTTGAGTAATAACATGATGATAAGCAAGCTGTGAACAACAATTACAATTCAAATACAGTAGTAAAGCAAGACTTTGCAGTAGTGAAGCAAGTTGATGGGCGGGTGACACACATGACCGACACAACTCGGCACCAGAGCTGGCAGAGCACCCACCCCCCCACCAGATCATGCTGGATCCATCCCTGTGTTGCAAAATGTATTTTCTTCATAGTCAGGCATTCACATGAATGAAGATTAGAATTGCATCATGTTATATAGTCTTAAATATTTAGGAGGGTCTCCATTATTAAATTAAGAGATTAAAAAGGGGTCCCATGACATTTTGACATAAGAATCTCCCACTTCTAACTGGTTGGGCACCTTGCCCCTTTTGTGATGGAAAAGCTATTCCCCACCTTTATCCCCTGGGACAAAAAATTCAAATCAACTCTCCACCCTGATAATGTGCAGATGGTAACAGCAAAAATTGAAGCAAGCAAGCTTTACTGGAGTACATACTATTATTAGGAAGCATCAATTCACACATGCTAATTTTCCAGTCATGATTTTAAACATAATATTTCTTATCTCGTATAGAATTCTTAAGGTCTTGTTTACATTTTACTGGAAGCAAACTAAGATGCATATCCAATATTTGGGTCATATCACTCATATGTCAGTTTTGCAGCGTGCCAGCTTCAACAACATTTGGCTGCAAGGAAAACGTAAACAAGGAAAGAGCATATAACACTTCATCTGTGTTTAAAATACCAATGAATAAATATTCCAACTATTGGCACTTTATAATATAAGCGACATTCAACAATAGATCAATAACATATACAGTATATGCAAAAACATTTCTTTGAATCACTGTATAAAATATTCCTCATAAACTCGCTCCAATCGTCGCACAGCAGAGTCTTTGGAAGGGTAAAACCAAGTTTAACATCCCCAGTTCAAAACACTTTCCGTGTCCTCTTAGGTAAGCCTGTCCAGCTGGAGAACATCTGTCGTAATACTATTAATATATATATTTTGGCTGTTAATTTTGTTTAGCGAACAAACGATATTTACCAAACCCAGTTGGAAGAACAGCAACTACATAGTTCCCATGTAATAAAAGCTGAAGAACCTGATTTCGAGTACGTCGGTAGCAAAAAGAAGGAAAAATTTCAAAGACTAAACGCATTTTTAAGCCGCTCTAAGCACTTAAATTTTGTGGACACTCTTAGGTTGGCGGCCATCTTGGATTTTCTAATTCATTATTATTATAATTTATTACACCCACTATATCTGGCCGTTGAAAGTCATGTGACCGGCCGGTGCCAGGGCCTTTTCCCGCCTTCCCAATGACAAAAAGGGAAAAGCCCTGGGAACGAGGTTGTATTTATATGGTACCCAATTCTCTGTTATTACTGATCACAAGCCATTGGAACGTCTTTTCAACGACCCACAAAGCAAACCACCTGCTCGTATTGAACGATGGTTATTAAAGGTACAACCATATCGTTTCAATGTTCAGTATCAACCCGGTTCTGACAATCCAGCCGACTTTATGTCCCGCCATCCGTTGCCATCATCACCTACCAGCCATGAGGAGTGATGCGCTGAAGAATATGTTAATTTAGTTTCAATGCATGCTGTTCCCAAGGCCCTTAAGGGCTGATTCCACGACGGCGAAATTCTTCGCACGAAATCGTGTGTGCGAAATGCCGAAATATGATGGATGGCTGCACATGAGTGATTCTATTGAATTTGCACTCTTTTTTCGCTTTCGCAGTGAGTAGAACGGACTTCTACTCACTGGCGAAGCGAAATTTTTTCTCGCGAAGCCTAATTTATCTTTACTGCGCATGCACGATTTCATTTCGTGCGAAATATTTCGCATTTCGCCGAGAAAAAGCTCCCGTGGAATCAGGCCTTTACACTGGAAGAAATCAAAGAAGCCACAAAAGCCGATACCACACTTCAAGCTGTCATTCAAGCAGTTCAAACCAAACAGTGGCATAATGCCAAACTCCAACTTCGTGTTGATCGCAAGTCGGTAGAATGTTTTTTTCACATCCAAAACGAACTGTCAGTTAACAGTGATCAAAATCTCCTCCTACGTGGTACCCGTATAATCATACCACTAAGTAAACTTCAAAACCATGTGGTAGACCTCGCACACGAAGGCCATCAAGGCATATAACGGAAAAAACAACTCTTACGTGAGAAGGTCTGGTTTCCGACCATTGATAAACAAGTGGAAGAAAAGGTTGCCAAGTCACAACAAACACAAGCAACATTGAACCATTACGTATGCCTGAAGCTAGCAAGAATCCATGGAAAAGTGTATCAATTGATTTTTGCGGCCCGTTTCCCAGTGGCGAGTACTTACTTGTATTGATTGATGACTACTCACGATATCCCGAAGTAGATATTATTAGAACAGTAGCCCATACAACTGTTATTCCCTGTCTTGACAAAATCTTTGCTACTCACGGAATTCCCAGAACAGTTAAATCGGACAATGGCGCCCCATTCAATAGTACAGAATTCAAACAGTTTGCTAATTATCTTGGTTTCCAACATCAGCGTATAACGCCCTATTGGCTTCAGGCAAACGGAGAAGCCGAACGATTTATGAGAACGTTAAAGAAAACAGCTAGAACTGCCAAAGTTGAAGGCAGGTCTTGGAAACAAAACTTGTTTACCTTCCTCAGAATCTACCGGGCTACTCCCCATTGTAATTCAATCGTGCCATAAATGTCAAGTTATCCCAGTCACAAACTGTAGCACCAGCTGACCCAAACCATCAACAAGCATTTGATGCATCATGTAAGTCAAGACAAAAGAACAAGGTCCACTTTGACAAACGAACCAAATCCTCTGAATTCAAAGTCGGTGATGCAGTCCTGCTGAGAAACTCAAAGAAAGGTAAATTGCAGACTCCTTATGAACATCAGAAATACCAAATTGTTAAGAAGAAAGGATCGATGATTACTGCGTCAAATGACAATCGCCAAGTCACTCGGAACTCATCACATTTTAAAAAGTTTAAAGAAAAGAAAGGTGAAACAGATAACCCAGCAGATAAAGAAGAACAGCCGAGCAAGCAGAACACCAATGAACGCCCGAAAAGGAAAACAAAACCACCAGCCTACTTTGGCTATAAACAGTCAGATAAGTAAAACATTTATAATGAACTTTAATTGTTTAAGAAGTCATCATAACTGAACTTTAAAATAAGACATTATAGGAACTTTCAGGTTGATATTAGTTAATCACAAACAGTTACCGTGAATGCAAAAACTAAAGGTTTAAAGGGATGTAATGACGTAATAGTTACATCATGCTTTAGGAGGATGCGTACTTGTAAAGATAGAAGCTAGACATGTGTTTATGGATCGAAGGAGTACTATATTAACCGATATTTTCCAAACATTACATTAACATGAAGTATTCAGAAATGGCCGACACTGAACGCAGGCTCGCGCTCAAGTGTTGCCATGTCAACACGATATCTTAAATTTTTAATTTTTTCATATTTTTGTACGTACAAAACTACAAAATAGTTGAAAGATTCGTACTTTTAACTATAGAACAATAAATTTCCGAAATATATACTGTAGGTATATTATTTTTTATTTTGTGAGCTTTGATTTAATGTAAAATTTAACTTAAAATGCTTCGTGAAAATGTTTGAAATGTTCATTCAACTAAACTACATTTGCCGATAAACTGTTTTACACACAAAACAAATTGTTAGGTAATTTTAGTCTTCAAATCAATTTGTTCAAATTAAAAGGTAATTTATGAAACTTGGAGCTTCGTTGAAAAGGAAAACAGTTCAAGTTTTTAGGCAAAAAGTTAATTAAAGCAACAAAATTCAAAGCAAACTTGCCGTATATTTCACGATTTCCCATAGTAAATCTATTCTTCTCATCTCTTCAAACAAAATTGCTTCAATTAAGCTTGTTGTATATGAAACGATTTTCCAAATATATGTCTTTTAAAATTGAAATCTTGCTTATTCCCACTCCTACACGCAATCAGCCATATTTTTGAGATCAGTGAGGATGACCACCCACTCAAGTTCGTTGGTCACGCCCGCGATATTTGATGAACTTTAGACTTCGCTAATGCTTTCGTTTCCCCGGGTGTAAATAGCCGGGGAGAATTAGTACCCTCGCACGACTCTTTGCGCCGTCGGCTCGGGGATAATACGCATAAAAATAGAGACAATACACGCTTCCGGAAAGTATGTCACCTTGGCTAGAGAGCCTCGTTTTCATGACTGAGACATTTGGCTTTTACTAATGTCAGATAAACGAAAACGAGGCTCTATAGCCAAAGTTACGTACTTTCCGGATGGGTGTATTGTTGTTTAAAACTTTCTTTTATAGCGAACCATCCACTGACCAGTTTTCCCGCTTTGTTATATCACATTATATAACGATTGCGGCTTGAAAATTCCACTCAACATCTCTGTCAACTATGTAAGTTTTGTTACCTCCGCCAGGAGGTTATGTAATCATCTGGTTACCTCCGCCAGGAGGTTATGTAATCATCTGGGTTTGTATGTTTTCCTCCGCCAGGAGGTTATGTAATCATCTGGGTTTGTATGTGTGTGTGTGTATGTGTGTGTGTATGTGTGTGTGTGTGTGTTTGTCTGTGAGCACGATAACTCAAGAAATACCAAACATATCCGTACGAAATTTTGTGAGTGCATTTCCCATCGGCTAAGGAAGAACTGATTAAAATTTGGTTGAATTTGGTTAAAAATTGAATGAGAAATAACAAAAGTTTGTTTTGCTTTTCCCGGTCAATTAAATAAAACTTATACTGAATGCGTAATTAGGACGTGCATAATATATGCACCAGCCATTCAAATTCTAATAACAATAGATTACTTCAATATTTTGCGCGTAGGCGGAGGTATGCAGTCTCTGAGTGCCCTCTAGTTAGTTTTGTTAAGGTAAAGGCTTTTCCATTAAAAAAAAGTAAAATTCAAATTTTTTTCACTCGAAGTCAACCCGCTTTACATTATGTAGCGCGACGCCGTGTTTGTTTTTTTGACGCAATCTGTGACCGTTACTTGAGGACTACTTTAACAGTTTAAAATTTACAAACCTTACAACCAAGTAGAGCCATTGTCTCTGCTTATGGCCGTTCCACCGAACTCATCTCCAGTTTTCTTGATCGTGTCATGGCACCCTTGGTTAAGGGCCTAATTATCATCCTATATCAAGGATACCAAACCTGCTCTCGAAATCTTTCAGAATATTCATTTACACGGCACTCATCTTCACCTTGGATGTCAAATCTTTATACACTGTATTTCCGCAACATGGTAGTTTAAGGGCCTTCAAATTCTTCCTAGATAAGCGCCCTAACCAGGAACCGTCTACTGCTGTATTGATGCGATTCGCCGAGTTAGTTCTCACCCTCGACAATTTTTCCTTTGATAATAAGCATTACCAACAAATAAGTGGTGTAGCCATGGGAACGAAAATGGGTCCAACGTTGCTAATTTGTTTGTTGGTTTCGTGGAAAACAGATCTTCGAACAATACACTGACCCCATCTCTGATTACCTTGAACGTAGCTATCCAACCTCTTTGTTAGACACTGCCTTTTCGAAGGACTCTTACAGACCCTTACAGATCGGAGACCCTTACAGACCCTGTGTGAAATGTCGCAGGTAACAACAAAATCCCTCCACTAACTCCAGACCAGACGAATTAATTATGGTCTTCGCTCGAAACATCGAAGTTTCCCATATTTTTCAAGTATCTGCATCCCTACCAACAAAAGTTTGTTGTTATTATTGGCACTACCTACACTAGCACAGACAGTTCAAGACTATATTAATGTAAGCATGCCCATCGTGCTTCACACGTTTAGAGGTCGAGGTCTTCGGTTTTAGCCCGCCCCTTCCCCCGTATTAGTATAGGCAATAGCATCATGGTTTCGAGTGCAATTTGGATATAACATGCACGAGTGAGTCATTTTAAAGATCTCTTTGAAAAACCCACGAGTGCATGTTTATCCCAATTTCACCAGAACCATGCTATATTACTTATCAATAATTTACATAAAAATGTTCGAGACAATTGTGGTTTTAACTTACGTAATTTTTAGCGAACCGTCTACTGGTAAAGTTTTCCTGGCTTTGTTATATCACATTATAATATAGTCATTCACCGTATATGAGCTGTTCTGCAATCTGATTGGTTGAATTACTCGCCGTATATTAGGCGAGTAGCGAAAAACAAGATGGCGGTCCGAACTACATGAGTTTTGCGAAGCAGAAAAAAGGAAAGTATTCGCTTTGAGAAAGATAATTACGGAAGCCGTGAAGGGACTTCAGACTTCAGACTTCAGACTTTAGACTTCACACTTCACACTTCACACTTCACACTTCAAACATTGGTTCCGAGCTTCGCTAATAGCCAACATTGCTTCTGCGAAACTGGCTAATATTTAAGGCACTTATGCAGTCAAAGCTATTCAAACTAAAGTTAAAAATGGTCAGAATGATTTAGATTGTAAATGCAGACTGTTGGAATG